TCATACACAGGATTAGTATGGTTATGAGCCATGAACCATGAACCATGATGGCAGGAAAAGAATACCCATCTCCTGCTTTGTCGCTCTGGAATCACACGATTAACCTACTGGGTAGTAGACAGTGGTATTGGTTCGGAAATAAACGAGCTCAGTGGCGTGGAAACCTTAAATCATGAAAATGCTACCTTCTTCCGTCACTGATGATGAGGTGATTTCAATTCCATTATTATTTCCCCGGGTCAGGCTGGATTTCCTCGTCAGTGTCTGCTGTATGACTGCATTGTGCGCCATCAGTCAACTTGGAGTAGATGATGAAAACACTGCTTCATCGTTTTACATCACTTTATTCCCTTTTACAACTGAATAATTAAATTCTCTTGGACAGAATAGCAGTAGTTATTTTCTATGGATAAAATCTAAGTGGATCTAGAAGGGGTTACAACGTGCCCATCGTAAGACGCAGTGCCGGGAGCCTAAAGCAGAGTGGAGGAGAGGAGAGGACTCAGAGGGTGGCTTGGTCGTGCTTATCAGTGGCAGTAGTGAATCCCCCGATAACCAGTTATCTTGGGAGGCGTTTAGTTGGTGTAGGGTGTAATAATCATCCCTAAAGCAAAGAGTAACAGTTAATAATACCTTGCAGAACCACCAATCAGATCCAGTGAGAATCTTATTTTGCTCTTAATCAATTAACGAGGTGGTACTCGAGGGATCCCCCGGGGCCATGGTCAACTTGGACGCTCTCACCGATTGGTTCCCCCTCTATTTGTCGCGCAACCACCAGTTTAGCCTTTTTTCCCCATAGTAGTAAAAAGTAAAGTACTACTCCAAAACTAGCCAGAGCGCATCCGGCTACTCATGGGCCCAGCTCGAGTCGCAGCAGACCTACATTTGCCTCCACTATCCTGCGGCCTTCCTGCCCATTTAGCTCGGCCACATGGATTGGTGGCCGATATCAGGCCCGCAACTGGAGCCTGCTGAGCTTGTTCAGTGGTTCTTCCCACCTCTCGTGGATCGGGGCCGTAATTACTCCCATGGGTGGATTGGAACTGTCGGGGATTACTGCTGTGACCTATATCGTCCGGTTCTTATTTAAATAATAATAAAAAAAACCCCTGCATCCTGACCAGCAATAATTAATGTCTCAGGGAATTTTCCATTTCCCGGGTTCCGCTTCTCTACGGAAAAGAAATAAGTAACTCCTGTCGCCCATTTTCCTCAAGAGGTGCTCATAGTATTCCCTTAAGGCCCTCCCCTCCTTGTCTTTACTATCTTGGGAAGCGAGATACCCTTCACTTGCACGGGCTGCAAACAACGCACTCACCATCTTTGGAGTTCCCCTCCTCTTCCCTACCTCACTCCCCTACCTCACTCTCTCACCTTTTCCTCACCCCGCCCGTTAGTTTTCCTGAGGTTTCTGAACTGGCTTTGGTGAACACCTTGTTCTTTCTTCATTCCGTCGTGAATCGTTGCATTTCTTCGCAATCTGCATCACACCTCTTCAGCCATGGAGAAGGATTTCATTGAACCCAAGTCGGAGCCCTCGTTCGGCGATGCTCCTCCTCTCTACGGCGAATCTGAAGCAACCAAAGGCAGCTTTGGCCAGCGGTTTATCGACAGTTTCAAGAGAGATCCTAATGCTCATGCCTCGTCGCACCCTGAACCTGGTCACGATGGCAAGACCTTCGATATCGAGAATGCCGCTCAGAACACTGCTAGTTCACCACTGGCACGCAAGCTCAAAGGTCGCCACCTTCAGATGATCGCGATTGGTGGTTCAATTGGTATGCATGGTCCCTTGATGCCGACGCTCACGCCATCCGGACTTCGTCCTTGCTGACTGCATCTGCGCTTTAGGTACTGGTCTCTTTGTCGGATCTGGAAGTGTCCTGGCGGCCGGTGGCCCAGCCTCGGTCCTGATCGCATATGCTTTGATCGGCTGCATGCTTTACTGCACTGTGCACGCGCTGGGTGAAATGGCCGTTCTCTTCCCTGTCGCTGGTTCGTTTTCGCATTATTCTACTCGCTTTATCGATCCCGCTTGGGGTTTCGCCATGGGTTGGAATTACCTGCTGCAGTGGCTCGTGACTCTACCCACCGAAATTGTCGCCGCCTCGTTGACTGTCGGCTACTGGGAGTCGGGCATTTCGAATGCTGCCTGGGTCGCTATTTTTTGGACGGTTATTGTGTGCATCAACATGTTTGGTGTAAAGGGTTATGGTGAAGCAGAGTTTGTGTTTTCCATCATCAAGGTCACCGCCGTAGTTGGCTTCATGTGAGTCTATTGGATCTGCCCCCTCAAACATTAGTATGCGATGAGGGCTGACTAACCTCATACAGCATTCTCGGTATCATCCTGACTTGTGGCGGTGGGCCCCATGGTGGATACATTGGTGGAAGATACTGGCACAATCCAGGTGCCTTCCACAATGGGTTCAAGGGTCTTTGCAGTGTTTTTGTGAATGCTGCATTTGCGTTTGCTGGTACGGAGCTGGTTGGCCTTGCCGCCGCAGAGACCGCTAATCCTAGAAAATCGCTTCCGACCGCCGTCAAGCAGGTGTTCTGGCGTATCACCCTCTTCTACATTGTGTCTCTTACCTTGGTCGGCCTCCTCGTCCCCTACAATGATTCTCGACTCCTCGATGCCTCGTCTAGCGCCGATGCCAAAGCCTCCCCGTTCGTCATCTCCATTGTGAACGCGGGAATTTCTGGACTGCCTTCTGTGATGAACGTTGTCATCATGATTGCTGTTCTCTCCGTCGGCAATGCAGCTGTCTACGGCTCTTCTAGAACCCTGGCGGCCCTGGCTGAGCAAGGTCAGGCCCCGCGATTTTTTGCCTACATCGATCGCAAGGGCCGTCCTCTTCCGGCTCTCATCGTTGCCTCGGCGTTCGGTTTGCTTGGATTCCTGGCCGCTTCCGATAAGGAGAGTGAAGCCTTCACATGGATGATGGCCATCTCGGGTCTCTCCTCCATCTTCACCTGGGGGTCAATCTGCCTGTGCCACATTCGCTTCCGTCGCGCCTGGAAATTGCAAGGGCACAGCCTCGACGAGCTGGCTTTCACATCCCAGCCTGGTGTGATTGGTTCCTGGATTGGACTCATCTTCAACTGCCTCGTTCTGATTGCTCAGTTCTGGGTTGGCTTTGCACCCACCGGATATGCTGACATGTCGGCTTCGGCATTGGTTTCCAACTTCTTCTCCGACTACCTTGCTGCGCCCGTCGTGTTGGCCTTCTACATCCCCTACAAGATTTGGTTCAGGACCCCCTTCATCCGGGCCAAGGACATGGATCTCCACACTGGTCGTCGCGATCTCGATATCCAAGCGCTCATCGAAGAAGAAAGAGCAGAACAGGCGGCCTGGCCAGCGTGGAAGAAGGTGTGGAAATTCTTCTGCTAAAGCTGGGTTGGGTCACATTTCAACGGTGTTAAGGCTTGTTTCATGCTTGGGCTGCGGTTTTTTCCATCAAATTCCCCTTTTGCACTTGAATAATGTATTATCATGATCATGCCTCCCTCTTCAGTCCATGTTCATAAAGTAGCATATTGATCAGCGCTGAGCCGATGCATCGGGATGGCGAATGAATGTTCTTCACTAAATGAGAAAATGTACTCGACGAAGGCTGTCGTCATAATCCAAAACTGAACGAAAGTATGTTGACAATGAACGAATTGAGATCAACTGTATGGACTTCCGTGTTTAGATGTAAATGATTCAGACCCTAAGAATAGAAGCATGTCAACTGCGTGGTGCCAAAAAAGCAACATGACAGTAGCTGTTCGGCAATGCCGTGTTTTGGATCTGGTGCTGGCCAGTCTCCGGGCTTGGCGTGTTTGCATCTGGAGAACAACAACCACCAGTCAGCAGCGACCAACTCCAGCCACGTAATTAATACCTTACTTGAAGTATTGACAGCGTCTCTAGTACGCTGTCTGTACATACTAAGTAAGTAGTCAGTCATACAGGGGGAAGATCAGTGGGTGAAGATGTGCCAGATTACTAACGCTTGTCGACCACCAGTTCCCCTTCTTTGTGTCTAGTGGAAGCAATCATCTTCAGAGCCTTCCTTCTTGGGAAATGATCTGAGAGTTCGGCTCTTTTCCTCTTCCCATTATTTTGGGCTACCGGTGCTGCGCGATGGGTCTTCCTAAAAATTCCCACCAGCCCTAAAGACTAGGAAACATCAGGCGTGGTTGGGGGAAATCAATCTAAGACAAGTGCTGTAATCACTGTAATATCGGTAATATTTCACGGCGCCCCCAAAAATAGCCACCCGGCAACCACACGTGATGGCTGAGGCGCCAACGGTCTAGTTTCAGGTCGGTAAGGCGTAAATTACGCATGACGGAGAAGCCCAAGAAGAGCCGGGCGAGAAAGTGGAAAGTTGCTTGCTTTTCCTTTCCAAAAGATCTCGGCCAACCTGAACCTAAGATCCAGTCTCCCCTGTTGTCATCCGTCTGAGTGTCTCATACTGCAACTAAACTAACTTCTTCCTCCACCTCCCACCCCCGTTGCAATTTGACCACCGTTTTCTTTTTCAAAACACTCCTTCTACTTCTCTCTCTCTTCAGCTTTATTGTTGCTTTTTACTCTTCTGCCTCCCTTGTTTTCACGCTTTCCACCCAATTCACCCCCCTCCTCTCCTCCTCACCACCTAACTGGTCTCCTGTAGCCGCCCTCGCATACCCGTCACCGGGCCTATGTCTCCTCGCAGCCGTTGTGTGCCACTATAGCATCCGTCAGAGGTGGATATATATCCGGCGCTTGCAAACAGAGCTGGTTTCTCTCCGTTTCTTCCAGGCACTTTCACCGGCAATTACCTTCGAACAAGCGTTTTCTGTGGTTCATCGGAAAGTTTACACTAGTCGCCTAGAGTCGGTGACGAACGCCGGCCGTTTCTCCTCAGGTTCAATCTCGCTCCCAGCTTGGTCGCGCATCGCTCCAAGCCAATACCAAGCAATCTTCCGTTGACGTCAGCTTGTTTGGTTCCTTCTTCAATATGCCTGGTTTCGCGGATTCGTTCTGGACCCCCGACTACGCCACCGGTCTGGGGGTGCTTTACGGGAAACTCCAACAGGGCGCCGTCGAGAACAAGCAGATCATCACCATTGCTTCTATGCGCGCAGATGCGGAGGAACAGTACGGTCTGAAATTGGGGGATATTGCGCCGACCGTGGATCGGGTCACGCCAACGGGGTTCGGAAAAGATGACGGGGCAAGCGTGAGAAAGGTTGGTGCCTTTTTACTCGTACGGAAAGTTCTGATCTAGGTGATACTGATATTAGGTCTTTTCGTCTAGGCTTACGAGGGAGTTCGCACTGAGATGGTCGAGGCATCCAAGAACCACCAGAAGATCGCGTCGAACATCCGGGAGCTAGTCGTTAGCCCCTTCAGGCGTTGGTGCGATCAGCACGAGGCTCGAATTCAGAATTCCCACGACGATCTCCAGGCTCGCATCAAGGAACATTCGAAACAGGTGGAGCTGGTCAAGAAACTCCGAAGCCATTATTTCAACAAGTGCCGTGTGGTTGAAGACCTCGAGGAAGAGAACAAACTCGCTTTCCAGGCCCCCGAAACAAGTCCGAAAATTAAGCCCACCCCCAAGATTGTCCTGCCAGAAGAACAGGAGGAGGAGGAGCCGGTGGAGATTGGCGATCGGATCTACCCTCCGGAGGATTTGAAGAGGCTTCTGACACATATGCTGGAAAACATCAAGATTGGCGAGGTCAAGGTGCCGATCATCGGCACATATCAGAACACATCGACCGGTGCGGATATTGTGGAATACACTCAGAAGCACCTGAACGGAACTAGCATCACCTATTCGGAGAGAATCGGGCAGGATCTTGTGGACAATGGGTTTCTCCGTCTGGTTGGAAACATGGGCAGCACCTTCGCAAACAGCTCCAAGATGCGCTACCAGTGGCGCCCTAAGGTGTTCCAGATCACCGGTGTCCCAGAGAAGAAGAAGCCTCTTATGCGCGTAACCTCTGTGGCAACAAGCGAGGACGGCAGCGAGTCTCCGCTGTCTTCTGTTTCTGAGATGCTGGCTGGCTGGAACCCTCTCAACAACCCGTACCCCAACGAGACACCAGCGGAAAAGTTGCGCAGGGAAGCTCGTGAGGCCGATGAACGGTACAAGGCTGCGGTGCGCAAGCTGGACATGATCAGATGCAAGCTCGAGGAAGAGGTCGTTGAAAACTTGCGCTTCATGGAGCAGTGTGAGCTTGATCGCCTCAAGGCAATCAAGGCCGTGATCCTGGATTTCTCGGGCGCCATCAGCAATGTCATTCCCAACCTGCAAAGCACTGTCGACCACATGATGCTTTACCAAGAGACCATCCAACCGCTAGGCGATCTCCGTTACCTTCTGGAGAACTACCGGACGGGAGGTTTCGTACCTCGTGTGCAGGCGTATGAGAACTACTACGGATCCGTGGAAGGTATGCGCTCTGCCGACTGGACATTATGAAAATTCAGTGTTTGCTAAAACTCTCCAGATCAAAATTTTGGTGTTGACCTCGAAGCGAGAGCGAGAGCCGACCGCAAGCGCGTTCCCATCGTGGTCACCACTCTGCTGACCTACCTGGATAACCGTAAGTTGTCTTTCACCCGGTCCTTTGGAGCGCTTTGAATCTAACTTGGAAAGGCTACCCTGACCTTGAGGGTGACGAGGCACGACGTGCGATCTGGCTGTACGATGTGCCTTTGGCAGCCACACACCACCTCCGTAGCGCATTGAATAACAGCAAAGCGGATTATAACGAGATCCTGGAGAAATATGAAATCCCCATCATCGCGAGTGTTCTGAAGTTGTACCTCCTTGAGCTGCCAGGTTCGTGTTTATTCATACCTTTACTTATGGTTCAGGTCTAACAGCTACCGTAGACTCTTTGGTTTCCTCCCAGGTTTATGAGATTGTGAAGACAATTTATTCAACTACTGCCCATGAAACGACGGAGGAGGGCCGCATCAAGGTCCTTCAAAGCACTCTCGGACAACTCCGTCTGAATAACATTGCTACGCTTGACGCCATTATGACCCATTTCACGCGTTTGATTGATCTTACATCTGCCGATGAAACTTATGTCTCTTCACTTGCCCAGGCCCTGTCGCCTTGCATTCTCCGTCCTCGCACAGAAAGCAGCCTTACGATGAACGAACGGCACAGCTACCGTCTCATCCGCGATCTATTCGCTCATAAGGATGCGATCTTTGGTGAATTGAAACGCCAGTCAAGTGCTCTGGGGATCAGTGGATCCACCAACCGTCCTCGTGCCATCAGCACAGATGAGAGCAACCGTCGGGCCGCAATGGAGGCCCGGAACCGTGCTATTCTCGACCGCAGCCGTGCCAACAGCCCAGCTCCTCCCCAGAAGCATCGCCGTGACCGTTCCAGCGGCGCTTCAGAGACCAGACGTTTCCCCATCAACGTGACCAGCCCCACTGAAAGACGGACTGTCGCTCGCAGCAGCCTGGATGTTCCCATCAAAAGCGAATCTCCCACCGCTGCGGAACAGATGACAAGCGTTAACATCAACGGTCCTGAGCCAGTCACCAACGGCGCCTTGAGCGAATCTCCTGTTTCCGCTGCGGCCAGCGCAAGCCCCTCATCGGGTAGTGCCAGTCCTCCCCCGGCCCCTGAATCGGACGCTTCTGTGACACCAACCACAACTCCCACCCAAGATACTGAGAAGCGCTCATCAATGATCTCCCGGTCTAGCGTTTCCTACACTCGCAAACCCGGCCTCGGAAACCGTTCCAGCTTCCCGACCGTCGCAAGCACAGAGGGCACAGACAGCAAGCGCAGCAGTCTCGCCGAGACCGAGCCGAAAGGCGTCACATTGGAAGACAAGCCAATGGACGATGACTAGATGTGTCTATGACTTATAGAAGCCTTTTACCCGTCTCCCTCCAAACCAGGAGAAGACAAAATCAGGCTCATAAAAGAATGTTTGTTACCTTATTCATATCCTCTCTTTCTTTCAAGGACACGAACGATGACGCTGCTACCACAATCTCCCGGGGAATGCACGACAAGACAAGACAAGGAGCCCACCAATACCAAGGGTACCGACTAGCATCCGTAAAATTCGAGCCTTGATCTTTGGACCAGCCATTCTACACAACACAACAAACGCCATCTCAACCTAAAGCAGGCCTTATTGCTTGAGAATGGCGTCTTGTATGTGTGTGAGTGTGTGTGCTTTGTGTTTTCATTAGCGGCGGTCCTATCGAACTGTTTCACCTTTTGTCATCAGCTATTCATCTACCTACCTACCTATCTATCGATTCATATCTATATGCCTATCCTTCAATGTTCTTCACATACCCAACATCTTTGTTGTCCCTCCTGTTACCTTTTGTGTTATCATTATGTATGTATGCATAGCTGTTTATTCTGTACTTTTTCTTCTTACCTCTATCGATTCAAGTTGAATTGGTCTGTTTTTTTTTGCTCCCTATAAGCGACATCATTCATACTTCATACTTGATGTGGATTTTCAAGGTCCAGTTCAGTGTATAGCATCATCATATCATATCATATCTGTCACCTCACAGGCAGAGTCAATGTGTTTTGATCTGAGCATCATGCAGAAGTTTACGTTCTGAAATCTACTGCTTCTATTTTATCTTCATGTGTAATGGTAGTCAATTGTTTGCTGAAAGCTGTCACTATCATTTACTAGTTGTATGTATGTAACGCCGTATGCCAATGCGGGGATCATCGCTAAGTGGATATGTGCATATGCATCTCTTTATCCAACGCCGAGAGAATGGACCAACTGCCTGCAGAAGACATTCAAAAGTGCAAGCTCGCTGGGGTTTTGTACAAAAAATGGGAAACAGAAGGAACGTGTTTACAGCCCTTGGCCGGTGAGCAGTCTCCGGAGGATACCCTCTCCTGCTCCGGTAAGTTGTGTCTCGATCTCTTTCTGAGAGACGAAACAAACCAGGCTTTGCTCATCCAAGGCTTTGCTGGGTGTCATTGGCCCGTGGAGCTTGGAAGGACTGCGTCGGAGATCGGATCCGCCGGCGACTGTACCACCTCGACCACGGCCCTGGTATTCACCTACAAGGCCCATCGTCTCCAGGTTGCTGAGCACATCCTTGAATTCGGTAGATGTAAGAGGGTGTAGGATGTTGTCTTGCCGACACAAGGTACAATATGTGTCGTACACTTGCTTGATCGTCGGCGGCAAATGCTTGGTCTTGGACGGTGTGCCCGGGAATTCACCTTGCCGCCGCTTGCGGTCCAGGGCAATCAAAGCACAGATGGCTGCCTTCTGCTGAAGGTTGAGCCCCTGTAGTCGCTGGACTGTCCCCTGTCCGAATGCCGCCGAAGTGATACGCGCAACATGCGCAATGCTGGCTCGAGGCGCTGTGATAGCAGTGTAAGATAAAGTAGGGGTCTGTTTGGGTGAAGATGACTTTGAAGATGAGGAAAGATTGTTGTTCTCGACAAGGATTGTTTTGGAAGGACTCTCGGGGTTGGCATTCTGTGCCTCGAGCTTTTTGAGTGCTTCCTGCTCGATAAGATCGATGGCACGCTTGACTAGTTCGAATGCCTTCCGTAGATCGCCAGTCTGCGATGCCACCTTCTTCGAGCACAGTTGAATAGCTGCTGGTTGGACAAAGGGAACGAAATTGGGGTCCACATTTTGACCTTCAGGAAGTAAAGAGCGAAGACGATTGGTGATCACGCTGGCAATCTGGCCAGCATTGTAAGGCAAAAAGGGAAGCAAGCGGGGCTTCAAGTTCTTGGCCTTCAATTGCGGGAGTGATCGATCAGTCAAGTCTAGCGCATTGGCAATGCCGATGAGCAAGAGTCTAGACTTTTCCTGCAACGACCACTCAAACAAGGACTGGAGGATACCGGAATCCGCGGTGAGGAGATGATCGATCTCGTCCAGAGTGACCAAGAACATGTCATCTTCCTCTTCGGATGTGAACATCAGTCGTAGCCGATCTGGTTCGCTCTTCTTGAAGACGTCATTGTCGTTGCAGAGATCGCCGATAAGCCTGCTGTAGACGTCACGAGCACCCCGCATACTCGCGCAGTTGAGGTGTGCAATTTTGAGAGACTTCAAGTCCATGTCGTGGCACACTTCCTGGACCAGAGCACTCTTCCCAGTACCCGGGGGACCACTGACATACAGACAGCCACCTTTGCGCGAATCAACACCATCTTGTATAAACGAGATCAATTTCTCCCGTTCGGTATCCCGACCCACTATCCGAGTCGAAGTTGCACCTCGCGCAAACATCTGTCTTGCTTCGGAGTATATGGTTTGCGTGGTGGTTGGCGTCGATATGTGTCGAGGTGTGCGTGGAGTCATCGATTTCCCGCCAATCTGGACGCGGTGTTTCGGTGTTGTCGGAGGAGGTGAATCGAGTGCATCGCGAAATCTGGACTTCGAAGGTGTCTTGAACTCAACCGGTGTCGAGTTTTCGTCTAGATGGATCAGTGCTATTCCAACAGGGAGGGCAAGCGAGAAATCCTACCATTGACCGGATCTGTAGCATGGCTGCGCTTAACAGGTGATATGGCCGCCTTGCCAACCTGCACAGTACGCTTTGTCTGTCCACTATCGACTGAATCATTCTTTGATTCTTCCTGAGGCTCTTCTTGAATAGCCGCGCCATTGCCGTTTCTCGTCCGTGACCGAAGTTGGCGCGGTTGAGGTGCAGGGGGCTCGCTTTCTTGACGGACGCGCGGTTGTTGTGTTCGGCGCCTGCTTGCTCGACGCACGGGTAATGATGGTACTGATACAAAGGAACGTCAGTAAACTAATCTAGAAGGAATTACGGAGGAACTGAGGAGTTGAGGAGTTGAGGAAGTCGTACCTTCCGGTTCGATAGCACCTCGCTGGCGCTTACCGAGGACCGAAGCAGCCATGATATGGTAGATTCAATGGTAATTGGCAAGAGCAACCGAGATAAATAAGATGCGAAGGAGATAGATGATCGATGATGAAAGGGAAGGAGCGGGTGTTAGAGAAAATACTTTAGTAGTAGTAGAGTAGGATCTGGAGTGGAGGTACTACTATCCACCACGATTTTCCAAAGGAGGCATAATTAACAAGACGCGTCGAGTTAAGGTGGCGCGTGTTACTACGCGTAGCTTAAACATATCACGTGATCTGATGCGAGGCTGACGCGCTTCGGCTACCAGTCACGTTTCTTCCCGCGGGGTTCTACTCAGCTGCCAGGTCCTGCCTGACTTCTCAGGCGTGGCAGCCACAGGGTCGGACCGCGTGATTATCCGTCTGCTCATCGGATGCTGTGAAGTGCGTCACCAATTCTACCTGACGGATAGTACCTAAACTATTAACGCCGCGCATCCTGGTTGTTTGTGCTGCATTCCCTTGTACAATCTCCTGGTTCACTAGTGCGGAGTCTCCTCAAATATCTCCTCTCTATGATTCTTATCTTTATATGCCTTCAACTTGAATTTCTTTCAACTTCATTCCTCCATCTTCGTTGATCACCGCCTAGCACTGACATTACTGTTTGCAGCTGTTTGCATCACATTGCCTGCCTTCGACCTTTCTGTTGGGATTCCTGCTGCATACACCCTCCTCCCATCACGGCGATCTTTTGATTCCCTTCATCCTTCCTTCTTCGCCTCTTTCTTAGATTAATACCAGTGCCGTGCGCCCGCCATGGAAGGCGACGTGGTAGCGCAGTTCACTGAAATCACCGGCTCAAAGCCAGAGCTGGCTACCCAATATCTGCAGCTGACTGATTTCAACATCGAACAGGCTGTACAGCTTTTCTTCGAGAATGGTGGTGCGCCACTGACTGATGATCCCTTACCGTCTGCCTCCACGCCACAGCAAGCTTCTCATGCTGGCGGCTATGGAAACGAGTCCGGGGTGGTCAATATCGACTCCGATGACGACGTCACAATAGATGAGTCTCGCTCTGCGCCTCGGAACCACGGCGCTATGTTCGAAGACGATGCCGCCATGGCCCGTCGCCTCCAAGAAGAGATGTACGGCGGAGGAGATGCCGAAGAGAACGTGCGTGCGCCGATGGCTCGTACAACAGAAACCTTGGTGGGGCCTGAAGCGGACTTTGACGATGGCGATATGCATGCCAGCATATTGGGTCAACTGCGCGCGCGCCAACAGCGAAACAGTTAGCACTTCACCCTGCCTTCCATCACTATTCTTTCAAATGCACGGCTAACATTTCTTCTCTTAGACCGGCCGGGCATCTTCAACCAGCGAGACACATCGATATGGTCTGGAGAGGACGACACCTCGGAACGTGAACGGTTGGCTGCAGCGACTGGAGGAGCTTCCGAGGCCTCGAATAAGTCTAATATGTTAGCTGAGATGTACCGCCCGCCTTTCGAAATCATGTCCAGGCTTCCGTGGGATGTCGCTCGTCAGGAAGGTCGCGACAATGAGAAGTGGTTGATGGTCAATATCCAGGACCCTTCAGTCTTTGATTGTCAGGTCCTGAACAGAGACCTCTGGAAGGATGCGGGCGTGAGAGACACCGTTAAGGAGCATTTTATCTTCATGCAATATTCCAAGGACGACCCTCGCGCGGGACCGTATCTGCAGTACTACTTTCAGGCCAGCGACGTCTCAGATAACTATCCCCATATCGCGATTGTCGACCCCCGGACTGGAGAACAGATGAAGGTCTGGTCGGGGCCACCCGTGATCAAGGCGTCGGACTTTTTGATGCAAGTCCACGAATTCCTCGACAGATACAGTCTGAAGCACAACGTGAGAAATCCCGTGGCGAAGAGGAAGCCGGAGAAGAAGGAGAAGAGTATCGATGCAATGACTGAAGAAGAGATGATGGAGATGGCAATGAGAAACAGCCTAGGGGATGAGGCGTCGCAGGGTCCGAA